CCCCCCCCCCCAGTGGGTTTACATGGCTGAGCCAAGATTCAAACCTTAGTCTCCAGAGCTCTAATCTAACACTCAAACCACTGCACCACTCTGGCTATCATAGTGGATTTGGTCTACTTTGGAGTAAACCCTCTCCAAGCAGTAAGATATCCTTCATTGGAGCTTATGAAACAGAGGATGGATGGTGGGGGTTGGATGAAATGGCCCTTAGGGTCCTTTCATTCCAACAATTCTATGACTCTATGATTCATACACATTGCTTAAATATCCTAAAGGTACCAGATCCCGTCTAATCTTGGAAGTTAAGCAGGGTCAGCCCTGGTTAGTATTTGGATGTGAGACCACCAATGAATCCCAGGTGCTGTAGGCTTTATTTCTGATAAATGAACTGGCAAAACCACCTCTGAGTATTCTTTGTCTAAGAAAACCCTACGGAATTCATGGGGTCATCATAAGTCAACAGGTGACTTGAAGACGCACAAGCACAAATGATTCATACATCTTCTGAATCTGTCCAAATCTGCCCAGTTCAGTCTGTAATTCATGATTCAACCAAAGCATGCTCCTAGGAGGAGATCCCATTGGATTTAGTTTGAGGACCAAATAACAAGAAAAGACATTCCACCTAAACATTAGAAATAACTGTTTTACTGTGAGAACTGTCCAGCAGTTGAATAGATTGCTACAGAGACTGGTGGACTTTCCATCTTTGGAAAGAGATTGGATGGGCATCTTTCAGGGATGTTTCAGTTGTATATATCTGCATGTCCCTTGTGGTCTTTTTCAGCTGTAAGATTCTATAATTCTATTATCAATCTGTTACTATGGTATAAAATTAATGCAGATGGTAGGGCATACTGATATCTTTTTATTGATGCTTTATGTGCCAGTAAGAAGAAACATTTCATTCCAAAATACTGGTTGTTTTTATAGTATCACTTCTCAAGAGTAACACCGATTAGCTTCGATATTGTATTGTATAGAGCTGATGCGAAAGCTCTCATTCATTATCATTATCTTTATCATGCCATCTGTTTTCAGATTAATTTTATAAAACAAAATGTCACATTTCATTAAACTATATCATTCATGGATGCCTTTCTAAAGGTTTATTTATTTATATACCTCTGGCAGCAAATTTGTACTTATTGCTCTTTTTAATTCTAAATTATACAAGGACACTTTTTAAATGTTTTAAAATAGAACTTAACCCTCTGATGTCAAACTAGTTTCATAGAAATAAACTGACTGATGCTGAAATAATTAGGGGTCATTCAGACATCTTTTTTTGCCCAAGGTCCCCCAGTGGATTTACATGGCCAAGATGGAAATCGAACACTGATCTCCAGAAAAACAGTCCAACACTAATGACACACATGCATGTTATATGTTATATATTGTGTGTCATATATATGTATATATATACATATATATATATATATAGAGAGAGAGAGAGAGAGAGAGAGAGAGAGAGAGAGACTCTCAACAGATATAGCTTGCAAGGACAAGTTCAGCCTCTGCTTTCTTCGGAAGGTTGGCTTCAAGCTGGCTGCAGTTAATTGAATTTATTTATACTTTTCATGTTTTTTTAAAAAAACTCTGCAGCTCATAATAAGCAGTTTCCTGAGAGCAATTAAAATCTAATTTTCTGAACCCAGGGCCATTTAGATTACATAAATTGCAATGGTTGCTTGTGCTCCTGGATGGACTTTGTACAATCATGTTTATAATTAAGTGAAGGTCTAAAGCTCTGTTCCACAGGCAAATAAACAATCAAATCAGTTTCATTTTTATTTACCATTAAGTTGTTTTATGTATATATGAACTGAAAGTCATGGTTTGTACATCTGTCTCAGTATTTTTTTGCATATTCCCCACTGAGTATTTGAAAGGTTGTTCAAACAGTACATAATTCCTGTGAAATGATGTTCATTGTCCATTAATTTTGGGAGAGGATGTAGAGCTGCCTAATGGGAAGCTTATTAATTCATAGATCAGGTAGTTCAGAGGATTGGTTGTTGGACTGATCAATTGTTTTAATTTGATTTGATTTATATGCCCTCTTTCTCACAAAATGGGAGACGTACAGTGAAATAAAGTAGCTAAAACCATTTTTTTAAAAAAGCATTAAACAATCAATCCAGTTAGAACATTACTTTGAAAGCATTACTTTAAAACAATTAAAAAGACATAAACACACATTTAAAAATAGCACATCCATTGCACATTCCTCTACCCAAACCAGCTGAAAGGGTTCCTCTAACCCAAAGGTTGGCAATCTACTCATCCTTTTCTTTCTGAAAGAGAGCAATATCAGGTATGCTGCTACTGCAGCTGAATAATATGGATATATAAAAGGGCAAAGATTCCCGTATCTTCACCATAGAAAATATATTTATATCTGTTCCTGTCTGGAAAATGTGCATGCAAGGACATTTTCAAGATGGGGATCTATTATAATTCCTATCAGTGGCAGCCACTATATTTCATGACAGTGAAACAATGAATCTGCTCAGGGGCTTAGTCCATATTGTAAAGGAGCTATCCAAGGTGCTGAATTCCATGCCCCAAATAAAACCCAGAGTAGATTCACTGCTCCAGTGTCATGGGAACCACCAGCTGCCATTACTCCCATTATGATTGTCTTTAAAGAAATACGAACCAGGCAGCAGCAAGCCTATGAAAGTGGTCTTCCAATCATACCATTTACCTGTATAAACAATTCAATCTGCCAAGCGTTACAGCTATCCTAAAGCTTCCAATGTTTCTTCATTGTGTAAGGTTGTGAATTTATGAAGGTATACTTATCTTTGGGAGAAGAGGCTTTGTAGAATTCATTTTCCAGCTGTATTATACATTGAAATGACGGGCAAAGGGACACCAAGAAGAGCAGAACTACTGATATTTCAGTCTATAATAGCCTTTCACAATTTTTGCATACATTGTCAAAATATATATGTACCTGCTATACTGTTCAGCTTTCCCTCTCCATAATATCTATTTTCTTTGACTACTATTTTATGAAACATAATGTCTACTAGCTTACTACAATGTATTTCCAGTAATAAAGTGAACATATTCATGACTTACAGGCTTAGACAGGCTAAAGTTTTATTTCAAGCCTTCAGTCTGAAGGGAAGGGAAATCTAATCAATGGGGGGGGGGGGGAGCCTACCTATGATTAAATATGATGGAATAGTCTATGCATATATAGAATCCTATCTGGCTTTGTGGAGGTTATGGATGCTGTAATACAATTATGGGTTCTTACTATAATTATTTGTGGGCTTTTTCATACAATCTGTTAATACCATAAATGCAAATTTCCCCATGTATCATAGTAAACAAGCATTAAGAATGTGTCATTATGGTTGCATAATTTTAAATTTAGGCAGATGGCAGTTATAAATTATGCTCTTAGAAAATTCTCAAAATATTTTATGGGATTGAAGAGATCAATTTTTCTGCACAGCCAGGCCTATCTCTTCTTGAGCAAATTTATTTTCTATTGAATTAGCACATTTTTAAAAGGTTGCATATAAAAGGTTACCTTTCATTCTCCTTACAAACACTGTGGAAGTTTTCTATATGGCTATATTTATGTGACTGAATTGACCAACCTCATAAAATGGGCAAAAAGGAGTGTGTTGGGGGTTTAGTGACTGGACAGGGAGGGAGAAGATGTCAGTTTCCTGTTGGCTCACTTGATAGTTCTGCTCTGATGACAAACGCCAAGCAGAGCTTTGGATGGAAAGACCCCCCCCAACATGTCAGGAGGGGCCGCTGGTTGCACCAGCCATTTTAGGAGGCTGACACCATGATTGGCTGTGAACTACAGAAGTCCTGCCCTTCCTGTGGCTCCCAACCCATTAGGGGAATCTTATGAGATCCCCCAGCAGCCCCTGTAATCTCATGAGGCTTCAAGTCTCACAAAATTTCAGGTAGGATTTAGGGCCTATTTAAGGCCCCCATCCATGTGGCTGTGGCCATTGCGAGCCAGGCAGCCAGGAGACCCTACCCACCCACCCTCGGCTTAGTACTTTTCATTACCGTACCTTCAGGCTTTTGCTGGTTGCCTTCGGGGGCTGGGAGGGAATTTTCCCAGTGCTATTGGAGCATGGTTGTGTTGCCCTCCCTGAGGAATCATAGAATCATAGAATCATAGAATCATAGAATCATAGAGTTGGAAGAGACCACAAGGGCCATCCAGTCCAACCCCCTGCCATGCAGGAACCTTTCATTCTCCTTACGGTCTTAGCGGTCTTAGCTAGCATTGTTAAGTATTAGTTAGTCGTTCTAGGTTTAAGCAATATATAACATGCATGTGTGTCATTAGTCTTAGTTATAACTGTTATGGTTTTGTATTTTCGCTAATTTCCTGCTTTGTCACAACTTTGGACAGGAGCATTTAGACATACTTATTAGTAGTCATGCATTATGCTAAGATGGCTGAGTTATCAATATCTGGTGATTTACAATGGATGATTGATTTATGATGACAGCTTGGGATTTATTGCTTTAATAATCATTATGATTGTTGTCAGGCTTTTGATTGATGGATGATTGATGATATGGTTTATAGTTTGATTTATGACTGTAACATTGACATATGATTTATGGCATGATTTATGGCAGGATCATATGACATGATTTATGAATTATGACATGGGCATGTACACATATGTCAAAAGGATAACAAACAATGTGAAAGATTTATGGCTGTCAAACTGTGATTTATGACCCTGTACAGATGAATAATGTTGTGGCCATTTATTACCCCACTAAAGGCTAATGGGCTCCTTTGTGCAGATGCAAGAGAGTGTCCAAGACTGGAGTGCTCCAAATATTGGAACACACTCTTAAAATTGTCCTTTCATTTGTTAGTGCATGCTGACCAAGTCACCTTCTCACTACTAATATTCTTTGTGAGACAACAATCATCTCTGTAGTATGAAGTAGCTTGGTTTCCATAGATTTTTGTGGGTTTTGGGGGCTGTGAGGCCATGTTCTAGAAGAATATATTCCTGATGTTTCTCCTGCATCTGTGGCTGGAATCTTTGAAGATGCCAGCCACAGATGTGGATGAAACGTCAGG